CAGGTCGCCATGATATGCTGTTTATCAGACCAGCGCTGACTATTGTTGTGTCTGGCGAGCTGCAGCAGCTGCCCATAATCCTGGTGGGTGCGTCGTCGTTCATTGTGCAGAATGTCGAATCGTCTATCTGCTCAGCCAAGTCAGTTCCCCTACGATCGTTTGACAGACTTGAGTGCCAAAGATCGTGGTGCGCATTAAAGTCACCAACTACCATACGGTTTTCACCTCTGAGGAGCGTGATATCCTGCCGGGTAGCAGGTGACAGGGGGTATGTACACCTTAAATATTTCGAGCTCAACATCGCCTGACCGGATAGCAATGCCCTGACATTCTAGGGTGGTATCCCTGCGGTCGATGTCTGCTTCGATAAGACGATACTGCACGGTGTGGTGCGTGATGAACGCTAAGCCACCACGATTATCTCGCTCGCGATCTCGACGGTGCACGTTGTATCTGGCGCAATTCAACAGGGTTGAATTGCCGTGCAACTTCGTCTCTTGGACCGCAGCTATCAATATACCATGCCTTCCCATGAAGACGGTTATCTCCTCTATCTTGCTCTGAAGCCCGTTACAGTTAAATTGAAGGAGCTTCATGTGGTTCGGGAGACGTGTGGTAATGCGGGGTGTGAGGGATGTGTGTGGCCGTGACGCCATTGGCTGTGTGCGCTGCTGAGGTGGTTGCCGCCCTGTGGTGGTGGTGGGTGGCGTTGCAGTTGAGGTTTGCGACAACACGGGCCCTCGAAGTTCCTCGTCCAATCTCGCGTGGTGCGCAGACCCGAACATGCCCTAAAGTGGCACCAGCCAAGGCAGGTGTTGCACTTGACTGATGTCACATTACGGAATATCCTGATCTGGCATACCGTACAGATTGTAGGAGGAACCAAGAGTTGTTGGCGGCGGCGTGTGGTGGTGGTGCGGTTGTGTGTGTTCTGTCGTCTGTCGTGGTTGTGGTGTGGTCTATTGTGTTGTTGTGCTGTGGTGTTTGTGTGGGGCTGCTCAGGTGGACTGGGGTTAGCCGCGGAGGCTGCTCTGTTTGAGCAGCAGGGGGCCACAAACGACGTGGTCCACTGCCGATGTGTAGGTACTCCTGAACTGACTCTGAGGTGACTCTACCCCTCGCAAGCATTGCACTTGACTGATGTGGAGTTGTGGTATAGTCGTCTCTGGCATACACAGCAGGTGTAGGTTTCTGGCCCTGGGTTTGACTCAATCCAGCCCTGAGCAGAAGAAAACGTAGCGAATATAGCCCTATGGACGAACAACTTCTGAGATACTTCGCCGAGCTAAACGGGGCTAGATCGCCGAAACAACAGCCCTTGGTCGGGTAAAACCCGAGTCATTCCGGTACGTAGAACCGGATGTCGTGGGAACGGACTCGTACGGGATCGCAACTACTGCTGGGAGACAGCTCAATAGCTCCGCTCAGCGCTGAGCTACCCACCCATCTCTAGGCTGCAAACCTACATACTCAGAATCAAGGTACATTGAACAGGTAGTATCAGTAGAGCAGCTGATTTGATTTATTTTCAAATTATTTGGTCTCGAAAATGTCAAATATTTTTAATTTTTTCTCACAAAAATTCTGAATTGTTAAAATCCATTTGCATGTGAAACCTTTTTCCATACAAAACAAGCGATTGAATAGCAGCTTTTGGAACGTTCGCGCAACTCAGCAGCACAACCGCTGATTACTGGCCCTTGTAAAGGATGGATCAATGCTTCGAGAAGCAAACAAATTTACTAGGAAAGAAAGTTGCAACAATTTTTATTTTTTCCAATTTCAATTGTTTATTATTTTTGTATTTCACATGGCACCCTTTGATTTAGAAGAAAAAATTCAGAACAGTTGTTGACACTTTCGATACCAGAAGCAACAACAAAATACACGCAAATGTTTTTGCTCTACTGATACTACCTGTTTAATGTGCCTTGCTCAGAATGTTTAAAAAAAAAAAAGGTTGAAATTTTTACTAACATGGGTTTTTGAGATAACGAGCTACACTTTCATAAAAAATAAGAAACATTAAGTAAACGAAAGGGAAATAGCCAAAGAATGCTAAAATGTCGTTACTATAAGTATTGTTACGATTATACTTGAATTAATCGCTGAATTCCTAAATCCATCGGGTTCTTTTCACTGGATTGGTAAATTGTTTACGTTACAAAAATACTTTTATCATTAAAAATCTACGGTTACTGTTTATTCAAAAATTGTTTTCAATACAACACCCTTTATTCTATTATTATTATTATTATATTATTATTTTATAAGTTCTCTGCTTATAGTCAGCAGAAGCTGCATATTTTTACTACTATGAGTACAACTAAGAAATGTGATTTTGAATGAACTATTTTTTAACATTGAATAAGAAAGCCTAAGGAACAAAGTATTGCAATATGTATGCGTAGGCGATATACTACTTTTAATACATATTTGTGTATGTACATACATAAATAAGTGTTTTGAAAATGTTTTTCTTTTATGTTTTTCTTTTGTTATTATAAAATTGTATCAAAAACATTTGTTCTTGAATGAATTTATATTCAGGTAGTTTTTTTTAAGGAATCGGCATTGGCATCGGCCGATTCTTTGCCCTAAGGCCGGTTAATCGGCATCGGCTAAAAATTGGGAATCGGTCGGACTCTAGTATTTATATATAGTACAGTTTTGTGCAAAACAAAGCAACAAATTTAGTTCGATTTCTGCATTTCTTTCAAAAAAACAGGTTTACAAAAAATTTGATGATTAATTTTTAAATACCTAAAAGTGTTTTGAAATAAATGTGCTTAATTTGTCTCTTTTAAAAACCAACTGAATTAAAAAACAAAAAGTAATTTTTAAACAAAAAACAAAACCGACTTCAATTTTCATATACAAATTTAAGATTATCGTTAATTTCTTTATGATCCAATGATCGGATTTTAACCAAATTAGTATGAGACCATCCGAGAGGTAACACCTTTCCTTTAAAAAATTGTAGAAATCGGTAAATGTGGTCCAAAGTTATGCGGTAACATACAAAAAAAATCCGACGAATTGATAACCTTCTATTTCATGTGAAGTCGGTTAAAAACTGGTCCAGATTCGGTTGGCATGCGTGCATAACAAAACAACAAATCAACATTTTGTACAATTACTCTTATTCTTAATAACCCCCTGTGAATATTCGAGGCATTGCTCGTAGTAAATTATCTTTAGTCGATTATGGAATATTTTCCCATTCATTTTTTAATACTTTGAATAGTTCATCCTTATTGCGAAGGTGTTGGCCGAAACTCCCATCTTTGAAACACCGAACAGGTTCTCTATAGGGTTCTCGTCCAGCAACTTGACAACACATTCGATAACTTGAACGCTACTATCCCTGCGATAGTTTTTAACCAGATTACCAAAATTCCAGCGTCTCCATGCTTAAAATCCTCCCACATACAGTTCCGTGGATAAAGGCATTTACCTCTACTGCCCTGGACTGTACACATAAATCGTTAATAGTTTGTTCGAATTGTTTAGAAGTACGTACAATATTACAAGAAAAGTTTAAAATAAACAAATGTGGTAAATAAGATAACATAACTTTATCTTTATATCAGTCTACCTTTACCTGTGTTTAAGAAATCTGTGTTGCTGGGGCCAGGGATCGAACCCATGACCTTCGGGGTGATAGGGCGCACCTCTACGCACTCAGCCACAGCTGTCATACATAAAATTTTAATTTATGGGAATTCATTTTGTTTATAGCTATTTAAAGTCAATCGTAATCACAACGCATTTCGCATGATACAAATATCATAGTATTTCGTACAGATATACTAAAAATACGCAATTATGGATTAGTTTAGTATTCCAAGTTTACTTGTTTTTCAAGTATGCATTTTTTGGTTTATATATATATATATATAATGACAATAAAGTAAAAATTTTACTTATAAAAACGCAATTAAAACTAATTAGTCACTACTCACTTAAATCTATGTACCTACGATTACGCCTTTACACCATACGCCTCTGGCATACGTTCAATGGCGTATTTGTGCGCTGCCACATACATAATAGGTACGCCTGGAATTTTGCGTACACGATTTTTTAAATCCTTGTCATTGGTCGCCACTATATAGCATTTATGTTGACGCACTCTTTCTACCAAACAGTCATCGGCATATGTGCCTTTATGCAAACATGGTAAACGCTCAAAGCGGGGATCAGATATAATTCGCAGCGCTAATTTATAGCGACTTCCTAATTTTTCCAACTCCGCTCGAACACAATCCGATATATAGGGTATACATTTGGCATATAAACAGTCCATCATGCCTTGTATGATATCCAGTTTGTTTTTAATGCTAAAGTTAATGAAATTTGTATCAAGTATGATGTGATATGGTGGACCCAGCTGTGTATTGTATTGAAAGAAAAGCGCTGAACTTTGCTGTTGAACATGGTGCACTTTTAGAGCGTGTAGATCCTCTGGTTTTTTACGCTTCTTGCGTATTTCTTCCTTGATGCGGCTGTCAGTGGGTTTCATCAATCGCTTCAGTTTCGCTGTACGTTGTTTTTGTATTTTTCGAGTTTTC